TCCACTTCTAAGAAGGTTTGGGTAAAGAAGAGCGACCTCTCTAGGTCTGAAGATCAATTGAATTGCTATGTTGCTCACGTTGCACTTAAAACTCAAAATAACTCCATGTACTATCTTCATAGTGCATGTTCAAGATATATGTGTAGTGACAAAGCCTTGTTTTCATTTCTCGATGATTGGAATGGTGGTGTGGTTACCTTTAGGGACGGAGCTACTGCATCTATTCTAGGAAAATGTGTCTTTAATATATATGAACTACCTACTATCTCAGATGTGCTATATGTGAAAGGGTTAAAATACAACTTGTTAAACATTAGTTAAATATGTGATGCTGATTTCGAAGTTAGTTTTGTCCAGAAAAGGTCTATCGTATATGATTATGCTGGTAACATTGTCCTCGAAGGTGTAAGTACTTCAGATAATTTTTATAGGTTTCTTCCTAATTCCAACTATGTGTGCAGTAGTACCAAGATTAATGTCACTGAACTGTGGCGTATGTGGCCCATGTCAACAAGTTAAACAGCTTAGGGTTCCTCATAAACAAACCTCTAAAATCTTGACAAGCAACCCACTCGAATTACTCAATATGAACTTAATGGGACCATCGAGGACAGAAAGTCTAGGTGGCAAACAATATATCTTGGTTGTGGTTGATGACTTTTCTCGATATACTTGATGAAACCAATCATCGAAATGAATTGTTAAAGTTATATGGTAAATAATGAAGTATTAGATGAAGCAAAAGAATAATAAAGACAAGAAATATAGCAGGAGAATTAAGAGATTTTATTGACTGAAAAATAATAGAGAAGAAAGAAAATTACAATGGATCCTATAATTCTAGTAATCTATTTTGTCACACTTTTCAAATTGTATAGAAAAGCCTAGTACTTGTAGAGAACATGTAGCAGACGTCCAAACTCTCTTAGTAGAGTTGTTGATGAAGTATGATGCCAAAAAACCGAGTACAAAATGAAAAAGGAGAGAAAAATGCAGAAAACCCGAAACAGGTGAAGCGCCACCTCCGGGTGCCCCAGCGTCGGGTGTTTTGTCCGAATTTTTTTTTTCAAATTGTTTTTCCCATCTCGAACTCTTCTTCAAGTCTAATACGAATTTTCAACTCCCAATGTGCTTCCAAAATAGAACTTCAACTTGACATAGGACTCCAATAGCATTCCAAACTTGAATTCTCCTTGTTGTGCACTTCAATTAGAATTTTTCAATACTTCAAACAAGGAATTCGGGTCACACCCAAATTCTAACAATTCTCCACCTTGACATGAATTCCATGAAGGAATGAATTGACTTCTTCAACAATAAACAAAAATTAATTTCTCCAACAAAAAACAAAACTCCACCCCTTCCAATGAATCCAATCACTACTTTATTAGAATTATTTCAGATTCCCAAAATCATAAAGATTTTATAATTTTCCAAAATGGGCTATAACACACCCTAACTGTCTTAGTTACGGTTATGGTTTCTCCCTTCCTAGATTAACCACTTTCTACTCCGCTTAAAGCATGCTCAACAAAATCAGCATCCACATACCCTTTTCCACTGGGTCCGTCCCTAGCAATTGAATACAATGGCAACGCAGGAGATGGTGACAAAGCGACATTACCCATATCTTCTCCACTTAGCTGTATTCTTCAAATCTGACCCTTTATAAGCTCCTAAAGGTATTGTACCAAATTGAATTTTCACCATGGTACTAAACTTGTGTTGATTGACTCTTCTAGATTCTACATGTCCCTGAAAGATGTATAACTGAGACATTTTCTATCCCTTGACAGAATCAATGCCAATACCAAAGCCCCTTCCTAGATTAACCACTTTCTACTCCGCTTAAAGCATGCTCAACAAAATCAGCATCCACATACCCTTTTCCACTGGGTCCGTCCCTAGCAATTGAATACAATGGCAACGCAGGTGATGGTGACAAAGCGACATTACCCATATCTTCTCCACTTAGCTGTATTCTTCAAATCTAACCCTTTATAAGCTCCTAAAGGTATTGTACCAAATTGAATTTTCACCATGGTACTAAACTTGTGTTGATTGACTCTTCTAGATTCTACATGTCCCTGAAAGATGTATAACTGAGACATTTTCTATCCCTCCAATACAACTTGGGCACCCTTACAAACCTTCAAGGCTCCACCTCCACCAAAGAACTCATAACCTTTCGAATCAAGGATAGACAATGAGATAAGATTCTTCTTCAAATCCGGAACATGTCGAACGTGGCCAAGTATTCTAATTGTTCTATCCAAAAGCTTTAATCTGACTATACTAATTTCATCAACTCGACAAGGTGTGTTGTTTCTCATAACCAAGACACATTTGGAAACAGTTGTATATTTAGCAAAAAAGTCCTTATTAGGAGACATATGAAATGCGCATGTTGAATCAATAATCCAATTCTCATCCGGTTTAGACTCAATGTCAGAAATAGCTAAGAGATCTCCATCACTTAGAACGTTTTTCGTGAGGTCTACTTCGTCTGAAGTATTTGAATATCTACTTGCAGCTATCCTTTTTTTATTCTGTAATTTGTAGCAATCCTTCTTTAAATGCTCCTTTTTTTGCAGAAGTTACAAAACTAATTACTAAACTTCGACTTCGATCTGTCACTTACAAAACCACCATGAGCAACAAGGCCAGCTCCATCTCTAGCCTTAGAAACCAGATGCATCATCTTCTCTTTTGAAAATAAAGTATCATACACCTCCTCAATGGTGAGAGTACCACGACTATATAAGATTGTGTTTCGAAATGAAGAAAACGAAGTTCACAACGAACACAATATGATCAACGATAAATCTTCTTCATTTTTTTATTAACTTCTAATATTTCTAAATCGACGACGATCTCCTTAAATACAGCCAATAATCTTCCATTGATCCTCCTTCTGTCATGCAATGAGAGTATAACCACTGCTTGATATGTAAATTGTATGTAAGACTCTTGGTCATGCATAATTGCTCCAACTTCAACCATAAAGCCAATGCCGATCCCTCCTTCCAAACGTCCTGAAGAAGGGAATTTGATAAATGAAGATGAATGTTAGAAACTGCCTTTTTATCCTTTCGTAATTTCTCTTCCGCGGTCAAAGTTGTTGGCATCTTGTCAATTCCCAGCAATACATCATCTAAATCCTGATGTGCGAGTACTACACGTATCTTAACCTGCCATAGTGAAAATCTAATGCTCCGATCCAAAAGTGAAATGTCATACTTCATGGAAGCTATCAGAACAAAAAAGCTCAAACAAATCAAATATTGCCCTCTTGCAGAACTGGTGAACCTAGGCTCTGATACCACTTATTATAAAACAAACAAGATACCTGAATTGCTTTGATACCACTTGTTATGAAACAACCAAAATATCTATTGTTAGAAGAAATATTAATATGACCGGATCGCTGTTAGCAATGTTAAAAATACAAGAATTATGTATTGTTTGAATACCACTTGATGAAACCAACCACCGAAATGAATTGTTGAAGTTATATGGCAACTAATGAAGTATTAGATCAAACAAAAGAATAATAAAGACAAGAAATATGGCAAAGGAATTAAGATATTTTATTGAGACAAGAATATTACTGAGTCAAGAATAATGAAGAAAAGAGAAAATTACAATGGATCCTATAATTCTAGTAATCTATTTTCTCACACTTTTGAAATCATATAGAAGAGCCTAATATTTATAGGAAACATATAGGGGATGTACAAACCCTCTCAGTGTGGTTGTTGATGAAGTAGTATACCAAAAAATTGAGTCCAAAACGAAAAAGGAGAGAAAAACGCGGAAAACTCGAAACAGGTGAGGTGGGTGCCCCGGTGGCACCTCTGGTACCAGTGCCACGGTGTCCATGCCCGAACTTTTCTTCAAGTATAATACCAATTTTCAACTCCCAATGGGATTCGAAAATAGAATTGACATAGGATTCCAATAGCATTCCAAACTTGAATTCTCCTTGGTGTGCACTTCAATTAGAATTCTTCAATACTTCAAATAAGGAATTTAGGTCACATCCAAATTGTAACAGGTTTTGAGAGAGAAGTCCATGCTAAGTTACAATTGGGAGTGTAAAATAGTATTACCTGTAAATAACATTGCATGTGAGTTTTTATAGTGGAAGTGGTGAAAATGTTATCGTTGGATGGATGATACGTGGCCT